TACACACTAATTACCTTGATGACTGAGCCAACCTGTGCACGCGCACACACACACATTCTACAAACACAGACGCACACGCAGGTGCGACTAGTCTCACGGGCTGACATAACACATCTTGCAGGTTTTGAAAGTCTCACACTCGTACACGGCTATCAAACACAAACATAAATGTGAGAAGTCTCACTCATATGCATATACACACACTCACACACACAGTCTGCAACACGGTTTTGCCCTGAAATGAAAGCTATATTAGGAACTCTTTTTTTTTTCTCTTCAGAGCTGCAAGATACAGATGGTTAAGTTTATTCTTAGTTCAGACCCATCATGCTTCCTTTTGATTCACTCTTTCGATCTGCCAGAAATAACTTCAGACCAACTTCCAGGATGGTCATATGTTTGTACAATATAGTTGCATTACATCCACACACACATATGAAAACATAATCGATCAAACACGGACACTCACACTCGCTCACTTTGCTGCGCAGATGAACGAAGCTCCCATGTCAGTATTGGACTGTAATGGCCCATGTCAGATTAGGGGGAAGGGGTTTTTTTTATGTCCTCCGTCAGACTCAATTAATACTTCATCAGGCATGAATTCATAGGCCACACTGGACCTTAGCCAGTTCATCCATGCGTGTGTTTTGAAACTAATAAATGTGTTTTCACATTCAGTTAATATTTGAGTATAGCACTATGTTACCTATTATAATAATGAGACTTTTTTGAAGTTCCTCCTCCAAATTAGAGAAAGTGCACATGCACACACAAAAGTGCTTTTGTCAGTCAGGTTGGAAAACATCAAGGAGGTTTTTCAGTGCAAAGGTAGAAGCTGGCAAAGAAGCAAGGAGAGAGTAGGAGACACTTCGCAGGTATAAGCAAAGAAGGCGGAGATGTGAAAAGCTTTTTAAGAAATCCATATTCACAAAAGAAAGATGTTCAAATGGTTACTGGGTAGCAGAGGGTGAGTGAGAGCGAAAAGGAAAAAGTGAGACGACAATGTGAAGTAGCAAGAGGAGCTGAGGCAGAATGTGTAGAGTGTGGAGTCATAGAATGTAATGACTAGAAGATGCCAAAATATGGGATTTGGCAAAAGAAAAGAAGCGAGGTTTGTCAATGAGGCTAAGGCAGTGGATGTGAGAAGACGCTGGAAAAGGGGGTTTGGGGAGTGCAGAGAAGTTATGGGTCAATAAAGCCCGCTGTGGGGAAGCAGAGAGGGACTCATAACGAGGTCAAGGACACATCATCGATCGCCACATCATAACGCTGACTGGCAAGGAGAAGAAAGGATTGAGGAGGAGATGGAGGAAGTGAACAGGAGTCACGGAGGACAGAGGGAGAGCTATGCTACAGCTGTGGAGAGGGGGTGACTGTAGAATTGGCCGAAGCGAAGAAGGGGGAGAAGCGGGAGAGAAGTAGAAAATAAAAAATAACAAGGATGAAGGAAAGAAAGGGGGCAAGTCTGGCCAGAAACAAGGTTAGAGGGAAATTGAATTAGACGGAATCATGGCTGAACAGATCAGATCTGTAATAAAACACACACAGAGGAGCAACCCGCACCAGTTTTGCAATAAGCTGCTGTAAATCAAGGCGTGCTCTGTGTTGCAAGCTGGATTTCTACACTTACACAGTAATCCTACCCCCTCTCATGTAGCTGACATGTTACATTTAAGCCACAGAGCTAAGAATCTCATATTCAGAAGTACAGCTCTAAGAAAAAGTTTGCTAAGCCTTTGGAAAGACCATGATCTCTACATTGATTGCCCATAAAATGTTATCTGATCTTCATGTGACAATTATAGACAACCGCAGACTGACTAGACTAGCAACACGCAAACAGCTGTGCTTTTCGTCTTTATTGAGCACACTAAGTAGTTGCTCAATAACCACATGAAGAGGACATGAAGAGTTTGTGTGCTGAATCAGATCTTTCGACACAGCAGCCTCAGCTTTATACTTTATACTTACTGCTCAATTAGCAAAGGTTGCTCACACGCTAACTTTCTTAGCATAGTAGCTAATATAAAACATATTGACAGTGTTATTGTTACTTGTCATCTCAATATACCTCTGTTTACTGACAGCTTTGCCCACCTGAAACAAATTACCTAGTTGCACAAAAGTACGATTATTACCTCTTTTCTTAAGTTGTGTATTTCCTCACTCAGGTAGATGTAACGGCACATCCTTGATGTTATTGAATACAATCAAAATAGAAGTGATTTTTATTTTATTCTGGACATTTTTCAGATTGAAAAGGGAGAAATGTCAACTGTGCAATTATACTGGTTGAAATATCTTCTATTGTGTAAGATAGAGAGCGTTCTTCTCAGCTGGGCAAGAAAAGAAATTAGCGGATTCAGGAAAGAGCTTCTGAACAGCGGACTGTGTTTTTAAAGTTGCCCAGTCATTTATTAGGGGGCAAGTTTGTTTTGTCAAAGCCATACATGAGAATATCTTTCTTTCTTTTTCCTGTTTTATATGCCTTGAACACGGGCATGCCCCTCTTGTGGCCTTGTGATCAGAAATTATTATAATTTTTCATCATTACTTTCATGAAATAAATCTGTGATCATGAAAACACATCCTGCCGTAATGTTGAGTTAATATTATTTTATGATCAGCAGTAGAAAAGTTTTGACAGCCTGTTAAGTGAATAGAGGATTTCTTTTTGTCAACACCTGTAATGTCGGAAAACACTTGTTATTACAAGTTCCCACATTTTCTTGGCAGCCAAACTATTTCTTACTCATGTTCTCGCTGACTCTTTACACCCAGCTTCTACTCATTTATCCACTGTTCCCTCTCTGAGCTGTTGCCCCCTGTTTGAATAAGTGGAAAAGAGGTTGAGCTGCTTCAACTAAGTGAACGCTCTAAAAAATACATTGCTACGTCTGTGGAGAGTTAAAATGAAGCCACCGAGGTTGCAAGAACTACTGGTTTTCCATTAGATTCCAATGTCTCGGCTCTTTCCTCACCCTTGCACGTGCCTCCCATCCCTGTTGTCTGAGTCACTTTTTCTCATCCCCATTTTATCTCAACGATGTTAAGAAGTGGCAGAAGAAACACGTGCTCCATTAATTTCCCGTTTCTCCTTAATTAATTTTGCTGTGTTCGCCTCTCATCTTGTCTTGTGCGTTCATTAGGTGAACTCGCTCAAATGTTTCTTTTCTTTCTGCGCGCGCTTGTGTGCCTGTTTGAAAGAAAAGGAAGATTTGGTACAGTCCGGACTTTTATTACAGCCCTCCATCAGTTTTTCTCCCCGATTATCCTGAGGTGACTTTCTGAGCTGACGTTTTGTCCACCCTAATCTGTTTCCGTCCTCTGCTCAGTCACTTCCTCCCCATACGCTGCATGTTTCAAAGCAGATTTAGGTTGAAAGGGATGTAATTTTGTGACCAGATAAATGAGTATGAAAGGGGTTTGTGGGGGAAGGGGGGTTATATAGAAATGGGCTTCCTGGTGCAGAGTGATCCCTTCAGGCCAGACAGCGTCGTTTAACTTTCACTGATAGCCTCTCAGCGTGAACTTATAACAATCTTTATCCTCTCTGTCTCGCCTCAAAGTGAAAACCGCTCCGCTAACTAGACTGGGGGTGATTAGAGCGTTAAAACTGGAGCAGGTGCGATGCTTAGTTTGCATGAATGATGTAATTCACTCCTGAAACCACTTACACTGTAAAACTAGATTATTTTTTATTGATGGGAGATGGTTCAGTGGTTTGTGTCGCAAGGATGCTTGCAACCTATTTTTGAAAGTTGCAGTTCTTATTTATTTTTTGCTATTCAGATATTAATAAATTTCTACATTATGATGAGTTGGCTTACTTCTAAACTAAGATAAAATGAAGGAAAACGCTTGTTAGATCTTTTGATATCTCATATCTCTGGAACTGGAGCCCAAAGAGTATGAGGATGTAAATTGTTGTGGATCATAAATGTGTAGTTTTACATTCTTATTTTTTTATTAACCCTTTAATGCCCAGTGTATTATATTAAAATGCATTTTTTAGACTTCTACATCATCTGTCAACCCTCCCCACTCCCCCGAAAAACCTAAATAAATCTCACAATACATTTTAAGCAATAAATAACAAAAATAGAGGTTAAAAAAATGCCAGGTGTAGCAAATGTGACATAAATTAAAACTCAAGCTTTAAGGGGTTAAATAAATGCAGTGGATTTTAGTAAGTAAGCTAGTGCGAATTCCACATACACAGCAGGATGATCTAGTAGAGACTGGCTTGAGCTGAATACGCTGCCTGTCATTCATTTTGAAGGAACATGTCACCCTTTGCGCCAGAGAGGCTGTATGAGCCTTTGGAGACACAGACAAGCCTTTTTAACTGGAAAGCACATGCACCACCGAGGCCTTTTTTGCAGTTTCAAAAGAGTTAACCACCAATCAGACTGAAATTTAATGGCCTCTTCCTTTGTGCATGTTCCACCATTCCAGCACATTTCCGAAAAATCTGACCTGCCAGTATTTGTATCTGAGAGACAGACAGGAAAACGGAAGGCCTTCACCCCGGCTTTTGCTTTAGTCAAAAGCATAAAATCTGTGCATGTCCGTTTTTTCTTGCTGTCAATGAGAAAGATGTAAAATGTCACCAGACTCATCATTTAACTCAATGTTGTTTGTGAGCTTGAACTTTATATTACCCAGCTGCTACTACTAGGCACCATTCCAGATTGAAAAGAAACTCTCTCTGGCCCGTCCAGAGGTTTGTAAACATCAACCATGTCCAGAAACCTTAATCTAAACTGGGATTAAAGGCCAACTGAAAACTTTGAGGGAGTGCCATGATTGGTTGATAACTATTACCCTGCATTGTAGCAGCTAAGCCCATAATCAAGGCGAACATCCTCTGATAATCCCAATATGTCTTTGCAGACCCCTGCCCAACAGCCTAATCCTCAGATTTAGAACCTCAGATTAGGAATACTGGATGATTAATCTCATATTGTGCGTGTGTTTCTGTCTGTTTTCTGCAGGGGACCCTTCGCCGGGTGACCTTCTCGGTAGTGAGCCAACCACAGGACGGTGGTTGCTATGACAGTGGCCTGGAAGACTCGGAGACTCCGAGTAGCAAGAGTTCATCAGGGCCTCGGTTGGGAGCCCTGCCACTTCCAGAGGAAGGCTACGAGCGAACCACACCTGAGGGCAGCGTAGGGGAGGAGGAGCATGTGGAGAATGGTACACGCATGGCGCATTAGAGCTCAAAAAGGCCGAGCGATGCATTTACTTCTATATGTTTTACTTTGCTTGGACATGTTGATAGACACTATCTATGTCTCTCATTTTCTCTTTCCCTATTTCTCTCTCGCACCCCCTCACCTCCTCTTTCTATGCCATAAAAACACACAATAACACTTTCATTAAAACCTCGGCTTGCTGTCAAGGCCTCGGGAATCTTTTCAGTCTTTCACATGATGGAAATCTGTTTTATACAAAAAAGCATTTGTTCTGTGTGTGTGTCTGTGTGTCTCTGTGTGTGCATGCACTTGTCCCACATATACAGAGTGTTTCTGAGTAATATGTGAAGGTTTTTTTTTAATAAAAGCTAATGTGTGTTAGTATGTTATGCCAGAGAACCATACCTGGCCTTGTCCAAGCATCTGCTTCACCAATGAAATTGTGTTTTCACCTTTTTGTGCAAAGTCTTTGTCAAGGATGGCAAGCGACAAAAAAAGTTATTCTTTTGATCTTTTCACTCGTCTTTCCTCTGTATATGGTCATGCCAGGGCTGCAGCAACATCGGCAACAAGCCAGGGTCACTGTGACCTTGGTGAATAACTAGTTCTGTGGCTATCAGTGAGTTTCCAGTTCAATGCTGCTTCTTGCCAGTGTGTGAAATTTTGTTGAGTTTAATAAGTTTTTGTCACGGTCAGATGGAGAGACGAATTGAACAGAGAATTCATTGTGTTGGCTTTAATTATACTGCACAAGTATGTTCTTGTTTGGTTTCGCATGAAGTTACTGCTGCCGCTCTACATATTCAGTAAAACTTTGCTGGCAGATTACAGCAGAGATATCTAATTTCTTGCGGTAAATTCAAGTGAAGCCAAAGTTAGAAGCTTTAACAGGAAATGAACACATTACAAGACATGAAAAGACAAACGACTGGTTTTGCATACATAAGGCTACAATACATCAGCATTAAATCTCTGGTAGTCTTGCTAACCTTTGGAAAAAAGCACTGGAGGAATGTTACAAATACACATCCAATCAATTCCTTCCACATAAAGAAATTTAGTCTTGCCATTCAAATTCCTGCTGATGAATTTCCTTTTCTTTTCAGTATTTTTTTCTTTTTCTTTTTTTTTTTGCTTTGACCTCAACTTTTACCTTTAATGTAATGCTGAACCGCACCTGATTTTTTTATGCATTCTTTGGATGTCAGCAGTTTTTCTTTTTGCTCCAGCAGCATTTTTCCTTTAATTCAACCCCCTCCTTTGCAACCTTTGTCTAAAACCATCTTTTTAAAGCTATTTTCTGTCTTCCTGTCTCATTGTTCAACTCTCCTTTCTCTCTGGTACTTTTTATTTCCTTGTCTCCTCATCATTTGGTGGTCTAGTGTGTGGCACCGTGAGTCAGTTCATTGTGACATTCCCCTTTCACTCTCTTTTCGCCAGTGTTTTCATTGTGATATATTACTTGTTAAATTAAGGCAGAGATGTCATTTAACTTCTTTTGTTTCTTTTTTCTGTATCCAGATGCTAGACAGCTGCCAGATGTAGCTTTGACAGGGAAGTGTACCAGGGAGTGTGATGAGTTTGGCCATTCTGACACTTGTTGGATGCCTGTCCGCTCTTCGGCACGGCCGCGTCAGCGCCACGGCAGCGACCCACCACGACTCTCGACCTTTGCCCCCGGAGATGACAACAATAATCTTCGCGGTAACGACCATGAGAGTGACAGTGAGAGTGCGGGAAGCGCGGGGAGCTCCGAACCCGGAGTGGTCGTCAGTGGAGAAGGTCAGAGATTACCTCTAGCCAATGGGGATCCGCTTGGCACCCTGGGTAGGGGAAACCACAACAGGAATATGGGTGATCACAACCGTAACCTTCTTAACCGCAAGATGACTTCTGCATCCTACGACACATTTAGCAGTGCTGGTTTTGGGAGACGCCAACAAGAGGAGGGAGGGGGAGAAGGCCAAAACCCACCTGAGGTCATACCACTGACGCGGACAGGAGGGGACTACAAGACCACATCCTGCCTGACCTTGTCACGCCGTGAGGTCTACCTGTGACATCCTTGCAGTCCTCACCACTACTTCCTTTTCCGTAACAAGAGGGAGGATTAAAACTTCACTGGCAAGTCATCAGCGTGAAAGGACTTGGAACCTGGGAAGATGTGAAACTGTCAGAAAAGATGTTTTCCAAAAATACTTTTTGATTCTGACTAATATTTATAGGCCCTTAAATGTAGGAAAAAAATTGGATCAACTCCTAGGAGAACCCTGAACAGAAAGAACACTTTCTAAAGCATTTTTCTAAATACTGGTGAAAGTTACCTACAGGCAAAGCTCCTCTTATGACAATGTGGAGGAGGACAATCTTCTCTTCTTTTTACCTGAATCTGATGCATGCCTGACCCTATCCCACAGAGGGAACTGTATGAAGAAGAAAGAAGCGGAGACGGTGTAAATTCTGATGCTATAAATTCCTGAGTGCGTATAAAAACTGAGTCTACAGCAGACCAGATTTGGACTCAACTGGTGAGCCATCTGCTGAAAAACCACAGAGGTTTCATCCAGTCAAAACAGATTAAAAAAGAAGTGACGGGTCTTTGATTGAGTTATTTGAATCTAATTCAAACCAATCAATTTTTCTAATGTCTAATCAACTGTATCATAACACAAGAGGGGGATATTAACCAATCAAACTGCTCATGTCTTGAGGATTTTCTGTCATAAATAGAGCGTAAAGTACCGCCCGAGTGTGATCGCCGTAATGTTACACACTAGAAAAAAACGTCAGTTGTTTAAAACACATACGATTCAGAACAAACAGCAACAATGTGAAAACAGACTTTTCTTACAATCAAATGTAATTTTTCAGAATACAGTGTCCTCATAGTATGTCAGTAGTGCCACAGTATTCGGGCGTGTGTGAGAATATATGTTTATTATTTTACCTTTACACCCAGTCTGTATGTATATAGTGTATGTCAGTATTTGATAAAACAGCAGCGTTATCTCTCCGCTGCTGTCTTTCGTTGAGTAGACTGGGGTGCTTAGTTCATTGCACATCTGCGGTATCCTAACGGTGTTCATGTATGATAAGTGCTCTCTCACGCACACGCGGACACATATGCACTCATACGCATGCAAGCGCTCATACACTGAGCATAGCATGTAAACACAAACATACAGTGCATTTACAGAATGTGGACGTGCATAAGGCCACCGTTTATGACACGAGTCAGTGGCTGTGTAACATAAAGTATGTAATAACCTGCATTAACTTTCATACAGAAAAAATTAAGAACAGGCAAACACAACACACACATACACACAGCATATTTAAACATAAGTCATATAAACTAAGTGCATAGTTCATGTGCACTATGTATGTATGTGCTTTTTTATCATAATTTTTTAACATTATCATTGAACTAGCTGTAGCATTTTGCCTGCTCCCCTCCATCCAGTATTTAAACATGAAATGTATTTAATAATTATTCATCTCTGACTGATGTGTGAGACTACATTAAAGGGAATTTCAGTGACATCTACTGTAAGTGACGATAGACAATGTGAAAACCGGAGCTATTCTGCTGTACGTAGGACTCATAGAAAAGACCAAACTTCTATAGCTTCTGTAAGAAAAAAAGGAAAGAAAAAAACTGCATGAAAGAAAGATTATGCTAACTTTTTTTTCCTCTCTTTTTTAAACCACATGCTTTTTTGAATACCACGCCTATTTGGATACATCTGTACTAAATGTGTGTGCTCGCGGGGAAATGGAGATAATGATTGCAGCAAGGGAGTTAGCTTCAGTGGATGAGATCGTTTCTTCTTTATCGTGGAGAGAGTTTGAAGTAACCTTGGGCCCTTTCGCTCACTTTGGCACAAAGGATGCCAGAGGCTATATATATATATATATATATATATATTAAAAAAAGAACATAGTGAATTGGGAACGTAAGACTTGTGCTGCGACCCGTTTCACCGCGCAGTGCTGACCTGAACACGCCCATACTGCTGTGCTGAACTGCACAGATAACAGACTCCTTCACATTTTGTCCTTCCCATCAGCTACTGCACGACTTCGACACACTCTGCTGCATTGGGCTAAAGAGTGGGTGTGGATTGAGGCCAACACATCTTAATTCCCATCATCAGTGTGTGGCTCAGTGGTGTGATAGGGATAATAGGGTTAGGTCGTCCCTGTGGTCTTAATGAGTTTCTTTTCTCCTCTCTTCTCCTCCCTTGATCTGTTCTGATCTCATTAATGTCTGGATAGAGGAATGTAGCACTGCTGGAAAATTGCTAGTGTGTCTCTTAATTTTTCTGGTTGTTTTCGGAACATAAGAGTGAACTAAGACATTTTTTTTTAAAAATGTGTAGTAAGGTTCAGCTTACTCACAGAGTCGCGGCTTGACTGTCACCTCACTGAAAGGTAACTGGACTGGAAATGAAGCAGGAATCATTGTGACACCTCCTTAGATTTTACAAGGATAAGAACAGCTCCGTGTGTGTGTGGATACACTTTGTATACCTGTATATATCTTTAACTTTCCAACTCTGTAAAAAACACTCTTTAGCTTCAGGTCCACTGATGTATTTACTCCCAAAGCCTTCATTACTCCCATATACCCCAATATGGCTGTTTACTGAGCTCTGTTTTTGATGGACTGTGCTGAGGATGTAACAAAATTCAAAGCCTAACATTTGGGATTTTTCGCTTCTTGGAGACTTCATGGGGATTGAAAACAATCATAATATCCTGCATGGTATGTTCTGAGAGACAAAAGGACACGTGCTCATTCTCTGGGAGAATGAGTTGAGATAAATGGTTTTCAGACCCTTAAAGGGCATCAAGAACCCGTGGAGAAACCAGTTTGTGAGTTTTGCAAAGAGACTCTTGAGACAGCCCTGCCTTTTAAAAGTGGCAAATATTTCTTCAAACTGCTGTTTTATGGCAGTTCCATGATGGCACCTTTCAAACACTTAAGAGTGGATTTAAGGGAACTTTATGTAAATGAATCTGTGTGGGTGTGTCTCTTTTTTTTTATACTGCACGTTTAAACATGAAGATGTTTCAGTCTACTGCGAAAATGAAGAGGGGAGAGAGACAGAGAAAGGCATCATGTCTGAGATCTGCCACCTACTAATCAAGACACTTTTGAGAAGAGACACTTCAGTGGACGCCATGTACCTGTCATCCCCCTTGTGCTGTTACCCTAGCCATGTACAAATAAAGTACACTGTAGAACAGACAACCGGAAACCATAACAAACGATGGCATGCTTAAGGTTCAAATCTGCACTTGATAAAAAAAGGAAAAAAAAAATGTTATTTTTGTTTTCCTCTTCTTTGTTTTCTTTACCTTTAGGAATTGGCTCTGTTTCTTTGCCAATTCCCCCCTGTAATTACATAATGAACTAATTGCATTTGCTATGATGTGGAAGAAGAAGAAGAGCTCTTGACGAATGGTTTGGTATGAAGATTAATCATGTAAAAGTTTGACTTTGACATTAAAAACTTCAGACATACCCATTGGCTGTTAGCACTGTCCACTCTGTTCTCAGATTATTTCGCACAGTAACAATGAGAGCAACAGCAGGTGTGACACTTGTAATGACACCAAGCAAAATAACTTGCAATATTTTTTTTTATCAAGAACTGAGCCAAATGTTGGCAAATTTATTCATCAATAAAGTCATTACTTACAGCGAATGGAAGCCTTACTTGAAAGTGGTACAAAACTGGAGACAAGGCCATCTTTATTCAAGGTCAGCTTGGTCCAAATTCTCAGTTTCATAACAGCAAGCTGCAGTTAAACACTTCAGAACAATTTTCTAAGCAGGCTGAAGTGTGGAGGTCATTCTCCCATTTACATCTTCCAAAGTCAAGAACGCCCAGTGAAGTTTAGCTTTTGTCTGCCTTCCTGTTGAACCAACAGCACCACTGTCACGCAATTATATGTCATTTTTGCAGCTGGCTGATATCTGAAAATTAGATTATCACAAAAAGATAAGTTTATCACTAAAAGGTGGAACAATCTATCAACTTTGAAATATTCTGCACTGGACCTTGTTACTAGAAAAGTTTAAAATGTAGAAGCAATTTGGATTTGGACTTATCTGAAAATGCTTCACAGGTGTTAACTGCTACAAAGATTAGCGTGAAGGACTTTAAAATGTCAAAACGAAAAAGAAAGGAAAAGAAAAATGAGAAATCTGTGTTTGGTTTGAGTATGCAATGCTGACACCAGATGGTCATGCGTGGTATGTCAGTTTCCTGGTAGAGCTTTTTCTCTGTGTCATAACCCCTTTAAACATGCAGAAGTGAAGTACAGTAATATTTTTAAGCAATTAAAGGCATTAACTTTACATTAAAAAACATGTCATTTTAATTCAAATGACTCTTTTCACTGAACCAAAAATATTTGCTAAAGATTTAGATGTAATAAAATATCAAAATATGATGTCCCTGAATCTTGGAAATGATCCTTTAAGAAAAGAAGGTTCTTCGAGTTTATGTGATACACAATATATTTTACATGATAGCTACGATAACTATTTAAACATTACTTTATTGTTCTTGAAAGGAATTGATAATTTCAGAAAACAAGCACATTTTAATATTTGAGTTCCCATTGTCAGGGGCATCGCAGCAATTAAAAGTTGAATCCTGCACTCTGCTCTGTTTTCCATTGTCACAGAACAGCATGTTTTCTCCTGAACTTTGAGCTGGTTACAGCACTCAGAATTTAATGCGTTCCTGTTTCACAATTAGATTTTCAAACAATTCCAACTAATTACTAAATTACTTTTGCTGTTTGACAACATTCAATTTAAATGCATCTTGTTTTATTTTTTCCTCGGGTGATGGCTTATAATAATCTCACATTTGATTTAAGGTTCAGTGAAAAAAATGTCAGTTGATGGGCTCTAAAGTCATATAATTGTGTGTCCTTATTATCATCATTTAGAATAATCGCTTGTATTACTATGCAAGTGTGTCACCCATTCAATAAAAGGCTGTTTTCACCTGGAAAAACATTATGAAGTGCTGACCTCAGTTTTAAGTTTTCAGGAAATAGCCACCTAGATGTATTTGCATTCCTCAGAGGACAAATTCTTATGTAGCTGGTAATAAAGTAATAAAAGCACACATTGATTAAATCATTTAAAAATATTAAAAACCTTCTTTGAAACATCAGAACCATCATATCAATCAACTTTTACTCATATAATAAGCACTAGCCATAAAAGGTTTTGTAAATGATAATTGAATAAGAAATTGTCTGTCATCCAGAAAAAGTGTTAAAGTTAAACTCTTCATTAAATTCAAGGGATACATCTGATGGATGTTCATTTTATTGATTTTATAAAGATAGAAGAAAGTGTTGCGATTGCGCCCGGTGAACTAAATCCCAGCATGTTAACCTCCTCGCACACTGCCCAGTAGTATATCAAGTGGTCTTTGGAGTTGTCAGGTGTTTTCAAGAGCTTAAGCTCACTCTTCTTCTGAGTGACAGAAAGCTAGATTGAATTGCCTTTGAATTGGCTTTACATGCACAGAGAACCTTGGGCTCATTGCTTCAAAGTGAAAAGACATATTCGTGTAATATGTTGAAATTCGCCTGTCTTATTCGTTTGTGCTTTCCGATGAGAGGGGTTTATTTTCAGATCCTATCAGAAGGTGTAAGAGTAGAAGATGTAAAGAGTTCTGCAACTCATCCACACACACACACACACACACACACACACACAACATTCAGGATTGGTAGAAGTGAAGATAAAGCATTAAGGATGCGATAAATTCTGTCAGTGCAATGTTCCTATGTTAAGGGGAGCCTTGCAGCAGAGCTGTAAACACTATTTCTCGCCAATATGCCAGACAGATGATGTGAGATTTGATCCTCCCCGTCTTCCTCGATAGGCTGTCATTTATGTCTTTTCATCTTTTCATGGTCACACCAGCCTCAGCTCATCAAAGCTGTGCCATCAGCATTCTTGGTAGGAACAAGGAAGCAGGAAATAACACATATACAGCACATTTTATATAAAAGCGCATCTTTTAGCATGATGGCATCTGCCTATACCTGCACGATAAAAGTTACTTTTCAGATGAAAAGTGGGTTATTCAAATGTTCCTAAATGTTTATGAAGCAGGATAAATATGCCAATTATATATTTCTATGAAATATGTAATATATTTGACAGTCCTCTGCTGTGCTTAGCTTTGCACTTGCTGTAATGTATGAAGACTGCATGGTATGTTTTAAGGCTAATTTGCACAGTATCAATGTCAGTTTGGTTTCTGCTGTCAAAGTAAATCCAAACAAGTGAGAATAGGCATTACTGTAAAATGCATTAACGGCTTCTTCATGTTTTAGATGAAGGGGTTTCCATGCCGATGGAAGGCTGCAAGAACGGTCTTGAACGAAAAATAAAAATATATGCAGAAAATGAAGCGATCACATTGCAGAGCCATGCCGTACCATATGTGCGATGTCACAATGGTCACTATACCAGGACTTGTTATGATGAATAGGTTTCAGCAGGGAAGAAAAATACGCAATGCAGTATTTGTGGCAAAGCGGAACAGGTGGAACAGTTTTTCATAAAGATAAAAGAGAAACAGCTAAAACAGCATTTAAATTCATTGGTACATGTTGTTAAGGTTTTGCAG